ATAGGGAGAAGGCTAGGTAAATAAATAGTACGTACCTGGATCCGAAGCTAAGACCGCACCAAGGCTCGGTCAACATTCATCATCATCATCATTACAGCCCTTCACAAGTCCACTGCTGAACATAGGCCTCCCCCAAAGAATGCCACAAAGCACGGTCCTGAGCCACCTGCATCCATCGACTTCCTGCATGTCTTACCAGGTCGTCACTCCATCTCGTGGCAGGACGCCCTACACTTCGCCTACCGGTACAAGGCTGCCACTCGAGAACTTTTCTTCCCCATCGGTTGTCGGTTCTTCGAGCTATATGGCCGGCCTATTGCCACTTCAGCTTACTAATCCGTTGGGCTAAGTCGATTACTCTGGTTCTACTGCGGATATCCTCATTCCTAAGTTTATCACGCAGAGAAACTCCGAGCATAGCCCTCTCCATAGCTCGCTGAGCGACCTTGAGCTTCCGCATACGGCCAGCAGTGAAGGACCACGTCTCAGTTCCGTAAGTCATCACTGGCAACACGCACTGGTTGTACAATTTCGTTTTAAGGTTTTGAGGTATGTCTGACGAGAAGATGTGTCGTAGCTTCCCGAACGCTGCCCAGCCGAGTTGAATCCGTCGATTGACCTCTCGGTCGAAGTTGGACTTACCTAGTCGGACTATTTGTCCCAGGTAAACATACTCATCTACAACTTCGAGCTTAGTGCTCCCAACAACTACCGGCATAGGTGTGACATGGACATTAAACATGATCTTTGTTTTGTCCATGTTCATCTTAAGACCTATCCGTTGGGAAACACTATTGAGGTCATTGAGCATAGTGCTTAGGTCCTTAGGCTCGGTCAGGCCGTAGGTAATTGTAGGTGCATGTAAAGTGGTGTTTAGTGGTGTGCATATTTATGTGACCTGGCCCAGCTGAGGTAACCGGGCAGCGGCCTGGTCCCATGCTGCCCCACAATGCTGCATCACTCCAGCAGGCGTCACTAAGTGACAACTTCTTTCTTCATTTCACTATCTCAGTCTATCAACTTTACTGTACATATAATTAACTTCAAAGTCAACCAATTCAACGTTCATCGAAATCAAACACGTGATACCCGACACAAGTAACTAACGACTGTTAGTTACTTGTGTTGTACTGTTAACGGGATCGAACGCGGCCTCTTCTCGAGTGTCACAAAGTTCAGCGTTCCCAAACAACAAACTAAATTCCTTTGTACGATATTAAATACTACGCTGCAATAAGAATTCAAAATCAACCTAGCTGACACGCAACTAACTACAGAGTCACCATACAAAAGGCTCTTAACGCGACGGTACAATTGCAACGAAATTAATCACTCAAATTCAAAATAAGCCTCTTGTCGCGAACGTACAACTTAGACGAACTAAACCGAGGCGGTCTTCACGAAACCACAATTCAGTAGCGAAGTAACGCGCACAAATACTAAATCTAGACCATAAATCCAAAAAAACTGTTCACGCGAAATATATGCAGCGGTCTCCAAAATACGCGAATTGACCGTACCGCCGCTCTCAAGCTACTGTTTTCGCCCACGAGCGCCAAACGCTGGGAAGCTGCATACCGATGCCCCCTCCCCGCGACGCGCGTGACACCTAACACCATCGGGCGATACGCTAAGTCGAAGGCGATTGGATGCCGTCTCAAATGACCATTTTTGGACCTAAACATCTAGCGTTCGTGGATTTGTACGGTGACCACAACATTCTTCCGGAATTAGTATAACTAATTTAATAAATAATCAATGCATAAGCATGTTTAACTAAGGATTCAGTGTATGTATTATGATTATAACATAATATACTAATTGGTGAGTCTGAGGATGTGCGTTAATTACGTTAGATGTTGTATATATATTCTCGCGCCGAGATACGGCTTGCGATCTTCAAGCCGCGTATTTGTCGCATAAACATTTATCAGACACGAAAATTGTGTTGCATACTCTGAGACATAATCCAATTATCTCAAAGCTCAATTTTTTCGTAAACTTTGCTTCTTTTGTTTGTATATTACTTTTTTTTAAATAATTTTTTTCTCTTTTATAGACGTTTATAATACTCAAGTGGACGATAATTCGAATACTAACGAGAATAGCAATGCCAGCTGCTCCATAATCTCTGGGTTATCGAGTGACATAACTGCAGGTAAGCATGCTCTTTTAAATTATCTCAAAATTGAGATATTATCAAAGTATTAAATTTAAAAAATAACTTATAATAAAATTAATTTTAAAAATTTATTTGTCATGTATACTTAATTTTTATGAAAAATATTTACAAAAAGGCTACTTTTTTTTTTCAAATTAAAAATTCTACGTTCAAAACATTTTAACGAGAATATACTAAGCAGAATAAATATTTTTCGGCTAATTATTTTCAGCGAATTTTACAGAATGGAGAGAAATGCGAAAGAAAGTGGCTTATGTTTTCTGAATCCAATGGATCGATTTTTTTGCTATGTTTGCAAACTGTTCTCAAAAGATCATGATAATCCATTTGTAAAAGAATGATTTTCAAATTGGAAGAAGATAGACGAAGTTATTTGTTCCCACGAAAATAACAAAGATCATAACAGATGTATTATGAATTATATTCATCATTTGCAAAAAGATTCCAATATAGAATTTTTTTTTATAAACACGATGGAAAACAAAGTTCAATATTGGATTAAAGTTTTAAAAAGAGTAGTTGCAGGTATTAGATTATTAACCGAACGAGGACTTCCACTTCGAGGAAAAAATGAAGTAATAGGATCACCTAACAATGGGAATTTCCTTGGCGTCATGGAATTGATTGCTCAGTTTGATCTTTTTCTGGAAGAGGACATTAAACGGTATGCTCACAAAGGCAGTGATACAGTCTCTTATTTATCTAAAACTATATACGAAGAATTTATAGAGTTAATGGCTGCAAAAGTATTAAAACGTATTATTGATGAAATACACAGTGCAAAATATTGGGGACTCGTCGTAGATTCTACCTCAGATATATCCCACATCGATAAGTTGTCAGTCATTTTCCGATACTACTTAGATGCTCACGTTTATGAACGTTTTTTCTGCTTTTAAAAAAAAAGGCCATAAAGGTAGGTTGCTTAGTAATGACGTATTAGATTTACTACAGGAGCACGGTATCGACATTAAAAATTGCAGAGCTGAGACTTATGACAACGCTTCCAATATGTCCGGTAAATATATTGGATTTCAAGCTTGTATTAGAGAAAATAATGAATTAGCGTTTTACGTGTCTTGCGCTGGCCATTCTCTTAACTTAGTGGGAGAATTTAATGTCAACGTACGTCTTGATGCTACAAATTTTTTCGGAATTTTACAGCGGCTATATCCATTTTTAGTGCATCAACACATCGGTGGGACATCTTAATCACTGAGAATTCTAAAATAACGAGCTTATCGAAAACGAGATGGTCATGTGGCAGAGACGCCACAAAAGTTGTAGTAAAGAGTCATGGAGGTATTTGTAGGGCTCTAGAAATTTTAGCGAATGACGAAGAACAAAAACGCGAAACTCAGAAAGAAGCTGAAGCTTTATTGAAACATATAAAAAAACTTGAAAATGTTCTTATGGCGATTCTATGGAATAATGTTTTAAGCCACTTAAACGCGACTAGTCAATACCTTCAAAAAGTTGATACAGATTTAATTTCTGCAAATAAAATGATACTTTTATTAGTGGATTTTGTGGCAGATTTCCGAGATACATTTTCTGACATTGATAATCAAGCCAAACAACTAAGTAATTTTGTAGATCAAGAATATTCTGATGCAAACAAATGAAAGGTCACAAGAATGCTAACATGACAAAGAATCACAAGTTAGTATCTTAAGCCCGGCTGATAAATGCCGAGTAAACACATTTTATGTGATTATAGACAAATTAGTTGCCAAGTTGCAGAAACTGAGTGAAGCATATGATCGCATCATTCAACTATTTGGCTTTCTCACACAATTATTATTTATAGAGACCGATGTATTAGAAAAAAAAAGTAGCAAATCTCGTAAAGGTTTACTATGACGATTTAGAAAAAGATTTATCAGTTGAATTGAAACAATTTATACCATGTTTAAAACGGCAGGCTTTTTTTCCAATCATACAGAAAAAAACACAAGTGCAAATGATGAAATCTTATGTCTCTTAAAAGTTTTAAATTGGCTTCTAGATTTAGACATGATACAAGTTTTTCCGAATACCTATATTGCTTACAGGATACTACTTACACTTCCAATCGCAAATTGCGAATCAGAAAGATCATTTTCAGTTTTGAAAAGAATAAAAAACATGTATCGATCAACGATGTCAGACGACAGACTATCATCTTTAACAAGATTAACCATCGAAGTCGACTTATTGAGATCAATTGAGTTCGATGACTTAATTCATGATTTTGCTAGAGGAAAATGAAGAAAAAAATGTTTTTAATCGAATTTTAAAATTATTGTTTGTACTTCATTGTATCTATAAATAATAGTTTATAATAAATAATTTATAATAAATTAATAAATGTTTTTTTTTTTATATTTGATAAATAGCCTTTTTCGCTGTCCTTAATTGGGTGGGTCCCTTCTCAATTTTAGCCCCGGGCCCCATAAAGTTCAAATCCGCCCCTGCCTCCCGCCCTCCCTCAATTGCGAGCACTATCCTCGTCACCACTTACTACACCAGGAAAGATATTGACTTAGCAGTCAGCCACCGCAGAGTCTATATCACCTGAAGAAGCCTCGTGTAGAGGCGAAACACGTGTCGTATTGTCATCAGTGGTGTGTCTTTCCTACTGTAGTGGTGTTGGAAGTAGTGGTGCTGGGACTAGTGGTGACGGAGATAGTGCACGCAATGGAGGGAGGGTGGGAGGTGCTCTTCAAACTAGGTAAGGCACATAATTTTATTTTATCGAGCGGATGTACGCGAGGTATTTTTGTTTATTTACCAACATTAATTTTACTAATTATTTTTATTTTTCATTTGTACTTACGATATATTCATGTGGACTTTTTTTGTTAGGCTTTCCTATGTTGTAATCTTTTCTACAAGTTCTATCCAAAACTGGTACTGGTGGCCATTTTCGTAATATCTCTGTAAGTAAACATTGGTCATGTGAATCATTCAAACCGCTACGGTTAAATTTCACTGCTCAACATATTATATTTGCCACAATTCACGCTTCGGGTTGGCACTCGCAGTTTTTGAATAGTTTGAGTTTTTATTAAAAAGGTTTTGCTGCCCATGTCCTATTTTAGTTTCCCTCTGTCGCCTCTTACGACCACCTTGGGACGATATGGGATAGTGAATATTCTTACACCGCAATTACACGGTAAATTGTCAAAATTATTAGTATTTTTATTATCTGTGACACAAAACACTAGCTAGCGCTTAGCTAAAATAGTCTTCAACTTATATTAATTTTATAAAATGCTATAGACACAACGGTATACTAGACTCGATTTACGTGCAATATATACCTGTACGTTTTTTTATCAGTAAGGTTTATAAACGAGAACACAGCTTCCACTTGCATATAATACATCCTCGATTAAGAATGAAAATATGTATTTTTGTAATGAGGACTGAGGACATAACATGAGGTCTGAAATAGAATTTCGTTGCTAGTTTAATGGTTATCCGGTTATCGGAACTCTCCAAGTGGAACAAAATTTACGTAGATTTTACGCAGTCTTGACGCATTTAGCAAAAGCCCATATGCGCAAGTTGACTTTTAAAAGCTGAAGAAGTATATAGTGATAATTATTAGAATTTTACGTTAGTTGGAATTGTTTTGCTATCATATACTGGTAGTTTTGTTGGAAAATGGTTCGTAATAGGTTCAATATTTAAGAGTCTAATATCTACATTTTGAGGTTCATAAAGTCGGATTGTATGTACTTAAACGGACGGAGTGTTCGAGTGAGTAATAAATACCTGATTAAATTTTCATTTAATCAATTATATTTTTCAATAAAAAAGGTAACCTTGCGTTCAAAAGAAAAAAGTTCTACAGAACAATAATTCAGTGAAAGCAGTTAGTTTAACCGAATTATTACCCACAACTATTGCATACCTAGAATGCGAAGCGAAGACTGTTGGGCTTTGTCATCGATCTGTCAATATTACGCTACCCGCTCACGTTAAATTGGTTTCATTATTTTTGTACCACACAAGCACATGAAAAAAGTACTTGTTTGTAGAAAAATCTAGGAAGAAATCGTGAGAACTTAGTAAAACATGACTTTTAACATTACCTGAAACGACCATATCCATGTATTTCATGTTTTGTACAGAATTATAATCAAATACTCCATTATTTTTAGCATCAGTCTCTTTGATTTCCTGCACTAACCGTTCTTGCACGTCAGGGTTAACACCTATTTCATGCAATGCAAATGAAATTGCAGTGGATACAGTGTTGAATCCAGCAAGGAAGAATACTACGGCTTGTGCTATAAGATCATCATCGGACCAAACTAAAATGTAAAGAAATATTAGCAGAATTTAGTTTAATAATTAAAAGAAACATTAATTTTTCAATATATAACTAGCACGAAATATGAATTTAATTAATTATAGAACTAATAAACATACATTGAATACTAAACAGTTTCTTTTGGATTTGTGTCTTTTGGAAACCTCATTTGGATTATGGAATTGAATATCAAAAGCTTTCGATTTTCTCCTAAACCGTGGAGGCGTTTTACATATATAAATTGAACATGAAGACATATCCAGAACCATAAAATTATTTTTGGTAAAAACAAATACTTATGCCAAGCTAGATTCTAACCTGCGACTTCGCAGCTCTTCAGATAACGCTAACGCAACTGTGTCAACGATCAGCTAATATGCAGATGAATCAAAATAATTTTGATACTGATTTGGTACAAAATTCTATTCAAATTATTAATCATCATCATCATTATCAATACAGTTTACGGAAAATTATTTACGGAAGAACACAGGCCACCCTAACGGATTATTTTATAGGGGGAATATTTGCCATAGTTGCCATGCTTGGCAAGTAGGTTGACAGTCAGCCAGTTTATTGTCGAATTGTAACCAGGAAGATGCTATCTGTCACCACTTATGGCACACACAGGATGATATTTCTGATTCTCCAATTCCGCCACTACATCGCACATTCTAATCAAAAGTAATAACTCTTTGTGTACCACCTACCTCGGTTTTCTCCTTTGTCTGTAGCCGTTTTCTCAACTTTAGCAATGTCGTCCTTTGACTCCTTATTACTTAAAGTTATATTTCCTTAAAAAGTACAAAAATATAATATTTAAATTTTAATAATCATACCATCGTTTTTCTACAAATATTCTACCTTTTTTGGTTTCAATGAGCTGATTTATTATATCGGGTCTATTAACATTGTTTATTTCACGATCGCGCATCATTCTTGCAACAAGATTTTTAAAAAAGTTTTTGGTGGCTTGTGCAAAAATAGTTATTTTAAATTTCTGGAAGTAACAAATATATATTTCTTTGTAATTTATTAATTGTTAAAATTAAAAAATAAGGAAAATATATTGATTACTTTTACAAATCTAAAATTATTTTTTTAATTGTAATAGATACCTTCATTAACATAGGAGATGAGTTGAAGGCGGTTAATAGCACAAATTGCTTGAATGATATATTCGTGGCTAACATCCCCATTTTATAAAATTCATTGTCTTGCTCATTATGTGAATCCACTTTTAAGCCAAAGGAATATGAAGTGATGACGTCATGAGCATATCTAGAAGATAGGTCGCTACATTCAATATCAGCAAAATTTTCTGAAAAACAGTAACCTTTGATAATAAATTTACAATAGTTTTATGTTAACATAGGTCTAGATAATTTCTTCCGGCCTTAGCCATTAACGATTACGTGTTAGGAATGTAAAATACCATACCTGGTGAATCTTGAATACTTTTCTTCACGAATTTTATCATTTGGTTGCAAACATCTACTATGAATGGTACCATTATTCGCATTTTAGAACTTGTGAACGCCGGACTTAGTTTTGATCGCATTTGTTTCCAATCTTCACCTGAAATTTTGGCAAAATATTATGTTTAAACAAACACTTCTATTATAAATTGCGAACTTCTTTTTTATATAATTGTAACATCTGTGCATGAAATATAACTCTTTTACATTTAGTCACATTACTTACTTAATTGACAACGAAGAGTATCAATTACTGAATAAAGATAAAGTGTTCCCGAAATTATCATAATATGTCTTAACAGTTAAGTAATGATTAATGTGAGTTAACTTCAAACAAAAAGGCTGCGACAATTGAAACAGGTCTTTATTCAAGCCCACGTATAAATAGTGAATGCACGAAATAAGTTAAAAAATATAATTTAAATAATTTAAAAATGTACCTTTAAGAGAGAACAAATTTCTTCCAAAAAGTGGATCGGCGGTTTCATCTACCAAAGATGTATGATCGACAAAGTATTCAAAATCCTTGACAACGATATTTTTTATCAAATCCATATCTCTCACTATTAAATTAGGAGTCACGAAACTATAGCTACCAATAAATCTACAAAATGTTAAAAATTTTATTACATAGGTAAAAGATTCCAACGTTTCTTACATGAAATTGAATTAATTAATTATTGACAATAATGATATTTATCATTAATTCAGTCAAAGTCTCCACAGATTGTCTCATTAGGGTGATATTTGTCTTTGTTTCCACGCTTGGCAGCTGCAGGTTTGAATTTTCTAGTTGTTTGTAAGAATTGTTTAAAACAAGTTTTATTTTAGCAAAACTAAACAGAGCGTTTTGAAGTAACTTGTTTTGGAAAAACAAATGTACATATATATTTTATAAAAGTGAATGATTGTTAATAATACAGGACAAACGCAAACATTATTTTTGAATACAATGCCGCTCAATGGTACTCGTAAGTGGTGAAGTATTAAAAGAGGTTAAAGAACATTGAAACTTTTCAAAAAATTTTCACACTTGCCTTAAGGACGCTGATATTATGTATGTCTTATTATGTATGACTTATAATATATGATTATAATTTACTACTTAAGTAAATATGTAAGTATTTATCATTACCTCTCTTCAGGAAACGATTTATATAGTATGATAAGGCTGTCAAAGATAGGGGATTTTCTTAACAGAATCCGACCCATGTTGCCGACTGGTGGCATCGGCTTGAAATGCTTTACTCCATATTTGCTGAATCTAGAGTAGACTTTGTTAAAGTAAATCGCCAAGACGACAAAGACAGCTATCATCCATATCAGAAATATCATCTTCTGCAACAAAAAAAAGTTATATACTGGTGAGTCAATGAGGGTATATGCAACTTTTTCTGCCAACAGGGCAGCGCTACTTTAGAGTGAGGTGGAATATTTGACATATTTCATGGCAGGGGCATGTTAGTTTGTTAAAAAAATATAAGTTATAAGGTTTTTTCTTTTAGAAATGTCTGTTATATATTATATAATTTAGATTATAAATGAATAAACCAAAAAACGGATAAAAGTCAAAAAATTAAAAAGAGAGTTTCAAACTGTAAAAAAAAATTTAAGAGCAAACCACTAAGGCATTTTTTTGTGTATTTATATACTGGAGAAACAAATTAACTTTCATACAAAACGAAACTTCTTAATAATAATAACAGGCATAGGGAAGTGACGACCCCATCGCCCGCTGACGTAACAGTTAAGTGACAAAACTGCTACGTCAGCGCAGTCAGTCAGCGCCTTGCCAAGAGATGTGAGTGCCGTGCGTCGGCAGAATTGAGCATGCAAAGGCCCGTTTGTGCTTACGGCCACATTATTAAACGGTGCCGGGCCTAGGCGTCTCCCGGCAATTGACGCCCAATTTTATAGATGATAGATAAAAATAGACCGCCGCTGCCTGGGGGTCGCCGGGGCGCATCTGTAGCTGGCGCTGGACGCGACAGCATGCGGGTCGCCAGCCGACCGCCAGCCAAGCTGCACGACCACCTAGCAGCCCCTCGTATCCATCATCCCCACCATATGGCTTAGTGTCAGCAGGGTACTCTCGGACTCGGCCCGCCGCTGGTGAAGTACGCCGCATGCGTTGGACAAAATATATAAACATAAACGCATTGCGGGCGTACTATAGGGCCAAAGGGTAAGAAACTGGAGGGATAGGTTATCGGGCTCGAATGCACCGCTTTTTTGCTGAGCTGGAGCCATCTGTTCCCGTCACAGAGCAAAACCTGGCAGACCGAGTTCGGTACATCATATGCTCAAAATATTTGATGATGCCTTACTCGAACGACTACGGCGTGAGGCTATTCCGTCATCGAATGAACCAGCTATGGCTGGGGATGCGGTTTCTAAGGTCATAGACCAGCAGCCATATGTAGAAACCGCCATGCATCATCCTGCTTTGGTTGATTCAGGCAATGATGGTGTGGTCACCCAAGAACTGTATAAGATGAGGAGTTAATTGGAGGAGGCGATTTTGAAATCGCGATGTACGTCTCTCGAAAATAGACCGCGACTTCCCAGCATACCCCTAAGCAAGGGGAATCGGTCTGTTGTGAGGGCTCTCAACCCAATGCTGGTGACCTATTTGGAAGTCAGCCGGGACCTTTGCGAGACGAACTCAATTCTTTTTGGCGCCGCACTGGCAGTTTACCGTATTATTGGCGCCAAACTCACCACGGCTGGACGGGCTACTAGACAAAATAGTGCCATCCCAGCCTGGAGAAGAATGATTGAGGATCGTATCGCAATGACAAGGGCCCTCATCGGCAAACTGATAAGCTTCAGGTCGGGCAATAATAGACCGAGAATTATGCGCACCGTCAGGATGGCGTTTGCTGGGACAAATATCAGTTAACGTTGGTTAACTATGACATTGGGACGTCATACATCTCATTCCCCTCGTGACTATGGGTGCTGTAAAGTGCTTGAAACAACGGTAATATAAAATAAGTTAATATACGGGATAAAATTCGAAAAATTAGTTTTATTTAAATGTGTAATGTTCACGTAAATATAAGAAATCATTAAATATCAGTTTGTCTCAGCCGGCTGTAACCCAAAAACTGACAGAGTGCATAGACGACCTGAAGCAGAGAATCGCTGCTTGGGGGAATCGGATTCAGCGATATATCGAGAGGTCGACGCGGTTCCAGAAACCACAATCGTCTCTTCCAGAGTTATCAGAAGAGGCTTAATGAATTATTAGAACAGCCAATGGTACGTGGAACGGGCCCAGCACCGAATCAGGCCAACACTATTGCATTCTATCGTGGCCTGTGGTCAGAGCCCGTAAACCAGAGCGAGGGCCCTTGGACGGAAGTTGCGGCGAGCCAGTGTGCGAATGTTACGTCCATGGACCCCGTCATCATAACGCCGGATGACGTAGCTGAGGCGGTCCGTAGGGCCCCGAACTGGAAAATCCGGGACTCAACGGACTGCGTCATTACTTGCTGAAGGGGTTCGTGGTATGTTACGCTGTGCTCGCCCGAGCGTTTCAAAAGGCTCTCGACCGAAAGTCACTCTCGAGCCTCTTCACTACTGGGATCACTCATTTGATTCATAAAGATCGCGATTCCACAGAACCGAGCGAATACCGCCCGATAAAGTTACTACCTACCATATACAAGACACTAAAATCCATTTTGAGTGAGAGAATCACTCGTCACCTAAACTCAAATCAGCTGATGTCGCGCGCTCAGAATGTATGTCGGGACGGTGTTCTTGGAACCAAGGAGCCACTACACGGCTGGATAAACTACAAAAAGGCATTTGACTCGGTACCTCATACATGGTTTAAGAGGATCCTCGAGCTGTACAAGGTTGAATGTACAGTTCGAGACTTCATCGAGCAATGAATGGGGCCGTGGAGTACGAGTACAATCCTTTGTATATCTAGGCGATCTAGGCGAGCGGATAACGGCTGCGGAGAGCCACATAAGGATAAGAAGGGGTATCTTCCAGGGCGATTGCTTGAGTCCAATCTGGTTCTGCTTCTCTCTGAACCCCCTCAGTACCTTACTGGAGGTTTCCGGGAGGGGATTTCATCTTCGGAAAGGAGGTACAAAAGTGACCACTTTTCTATATGGATGATCTCAAATTATTCGCCTACAGTCGCTCTCATCTTATGGAATTGCTAAACATCACTTGTGATTTTAGAAATTCTATTAGAATGGAGCTGGGGACGGATAAGTGTGCGGTCTTCCATGTTGAAACGGGAAGGGTTGTTAAATCTGAGGGCATAGACATGTCTATGCCCATCAACATAAACACCCTTTCCGAGGCTGAAACATACAGATACCTGGGTATGTCACAGGACATTGATATCGATGAGGCGGACATGAAACAGTCAGTTTGCGAAAATTCCTTAACAGTCTTTTGTCGGGCGTTAATAAGACACACGCATATAACGTTTAGATCATGCCTGTTCTCATGTATACATTTGGCATACTCAGGTGGACTAAGACCAAACTGAACGCTCTGGATAGAAAAGTCCGCACTATTATGACATCCCACAGGATGCATCATCCGAGATCGTCAGTAATGAGGCTGTACTTGCAGCGGACACATGGTAGGCGCGGATTTTTAAGCGCGCTTACCATGCATAGTCGCGAAGTGCGCAGCCTCCGTTATTACTTTCTGACGAGAGCGGATGATCCATTCTATAGGGACGTTATTTATTGTGATAAAGGTCTTACCCTTCTATCCTTAGCCAACTAGCAATGGCAAGACCCGGCAGCACAGAGTATTTCCGACCGGGAGACCGTATGGAAGGAGAAGGATCTAAACGGGAGGTTCTACACGGCTCTACATGAGCCTTTCGTAAACACAGTTGCCTCACTCCACAGGCTACGTTTTGGTGACCTCTTCGGGAAAACCGAGGATTTTGTCTGTGCAATACAGGATCAGGTTATAAAGACCAACAACTATCGGAGGTACATCCTAGAGGATGGCACCGTCAACATCTGTCGAGCTTGTCTCATACCGGTGAATCACTTAGACAAGTAATCTCTGGTTGTACGGCGCTTTCTAACTCTGAGTACTTGCACAGGCACACCTAGTAGCCAGGATTCTACACCAGGAGCTTACTCTGAAATATGGTCTCGCGGTTCAGAATCTGCCGTATTATAAGTACTTGCCAGAAGCCGTGCTGGAAAATGCACCAGGCTCTACTGGTTCTTGCGAATAAGCCTAATATTATTTTTTGTACTCGGATAGTTGACGTAGCTCTAGGGTACGAGCACTTCAGCACTGCGATATACCAACAGTCAACTTGGCACCGCTGAAGGGACCGGGCATATATATTATATGCATAGATAATCCTATAATATCCCAGCGCAACTTGTCTATCTCTTCTTCCAACTACAAAATCTTTGTGCGTGCGTTGTTGCTAGGTCGAGTCGTCTTAGGTGGCAAATAACCTCCACCGGAGATTCTTAGCACCCCCAGCCCCGGCGATACCATGATAGCCAAGAATAGCGGGGCCGCCGGAGACTGGAGGTAGTGTCTTCGTAACTTTCATCATCGGAATTGCCATAGCCGCTTGGCGAGCAGGGTTGCAACCGCAAATTTTTATTGTTATTTACGATACTCACGAGAAGACATGGGGTATTGGGTATGCTTACCCGCCACTTCATGGGGCATATATATATAAGGACATAAAATGTTTACGTCAGTATTTACTGATTGGACCACACACTTCCAATCCTTCTATGTATGTACTCTATGTACTGTATGTTTTTTTTATGTTTGTTACATTATACTTTTGCTAATTAAATGACTAATGTAAATGAATTTGTATGATTCCCGTTTTCGTTTCAATAAGCTATACCTAAATGCTGGTGTCATTTCAACTTAAAAAAAGTTAACCTTAAGGGTGGAATGATAGGGTACGAAGTTTTTGATTTAACTATGTAGACATCATTCTAATTACATTGAGTTTATTGACAGTTCTTAGTCTATTCAAAAGGATCTAATAATTATTAAAAAAAAGTAAAACTGACTTCTAAAACCAAACAGTAAGAAATAATTTATTTTCTTCCCTTCTAAATTCGAAATAAGTTTATTTTTGCTTCATTTGAATGTTTAATTGTTCTGGGTTTGCATTTCGGGAATTTCTATTTTAATTATTTCGTTTGGTAGAGCAGCAATCACTAAAACTTTTACTGTGGTTTTTGGAACTGGTTCCGCAACGATTTTTTATAGGATAGGGTGACAAACGAGCACATAGTCCACCTGATCGTAAGTGGTTACTGTGACCCATAGACATCTACAACTATCCTCAATAAAGA